ATCTCACAATAGAAGTCTCTGTTTTTCCTTCCATGGTATGCTCTGCATTTTGTTGATTGCTGCGAGTGACAAATCCAATTGCTGACTGTTGTTGTTCACGAACCTGAGCTGATGCAAGCCTCTGTTCTTCTCTCACAACCCGAGAGTAGATTTCTCCAAGAGGCGGAAACGGATCAATTGCTATGAGGAGTGCGGAGAGTCCTCCAAAGCGAGAATCGTCAAGTCCTAGCACGAATTGATGAATCTTCTCTTCTTCCCTTTCTTTTGAAGGTTCAAGAGTAGCACCACAGGTACACAAACCACACTTACACACGGTAATAGGTTTGTAAATTTGGTATTCTTCCCAAAGTTTACACAAGCGACCATAGTATTCAACAACAGGCTGTCCATCTTGCCGACACGATGCAAGCTGAGCCTTGAGTTGATGAACACGAACTTTGTTTCCCACCGAGAAACGCTGCTTCAATTCCACCCATAGTTGATGAGCATCAGATATGAAGGTAACTGTTGATTTAACTTTCGGTTCAATGGAGGTTCGAATCCATCCCACGATCATCGAATTGACTGCAGTCCAATTCTCATAATTCGGATCATCACATGGTGGTTTTGGAATCGAGCCATTGATGAATCCGGTCTTACGTTTGGCTTGAAGGGCATTCAACATCTCCGTGGACCATTCATTGAAATTGTCACCAGTTAACATAACTGATGAGATCATGGCCCCTGGATTGTCTGTGTTTGCAAGAGTATACGGTGACACCTTTGTTGTATCTGATTGACCAACCGTGGATTTTGATGCCGACGAGCCATCTTCTGTGAGAGACATTGTTGCTTGACACGCAAGAAACAAAGTTTTAAGAACAGAGGAACGAAACTATCGTAAAGAGAAAAAAAAGATTTTTGAGATTTTGTTGGATCTTTGGCTCTGATACCATGTAGAATTAGGTAACAAACCAACTTGCTTTATTCATTCACCAAACAATGGTATTTATACATGAGAGCTCACGAGAGCTTTGATAACAAGATAAGCTTAAGATCCTAAAATGTAGGACATAAACTCTATCACAAAAGATATGATCTAATCCTAACCGGATTATACACATATATCCCCAATATAAAAAGTATTTCACGGACAAATCTTTTAAAGTTTGATATGCGTAGAGGATGATAGCTAGAGACGCCGCAATGTGCCGTTGCGTAATTTGATAAAACAGTAAACGTCCCAAATGTGGCTTTTCGTGTTTAGTAAACATTTTTAGTTTTTATAGTTAATTGTCAGTTGACCTAAATTAAAATATAGTATGCACTATAATTAATCAGTAATTACTACGTATTATCAAATAATCAATTTGTGTTATGTGGTAATCCATGATGTCATGTTATTTTGTACGATTTTAAAAGCTACCATTGCTATTAAATATATGCGCATAATTTATCCTTTGTCGAAGACATTAGATAAAAGAAATTTTTCGCTTTTGTCTATTTTCCTGAGGGTAGAATCTCAATATAATGTTAATGTAATCAAAATCGTATACTTTTTGTTTTCCTAGTAGTTTTTCATCAGCTAATTTAGTAATCTTGTAAACCCATTAGTGATTATAGATTACAAGTATATATGTCCTACAATGATTAAGTTTGCATATAGGCAAAGTTAGAACGTTACTTATTGTTATTCGACCATAATGGTTGCTAATAGAATCACATTAAACGCCATTGATTTGTTGAATTTGAGATCGTAAGTGCAATTTTCAACTAATAAAACGTGGTTCCCTCTAATCCATGTTATCATTTGCGGTTTCGTCAGCAAATTTATTAATACTTTACAAGATCATTATATTTAAGATTTTATTAAGAATGCTGAATTTTGACCTGATTTCCCAAAAACATTGCTGATCTGTAACTAGCAAGGTGGCAAGGTGCCATCATTTGATTTGCTAGAAACCCTAAAAGTACTAATTTTGTTTATATAATTCTATTAAACAGAAATTGGAAGATACTCAAGTACATGTAAACGTTTTTTCCCCGAAAGACAAAGCACGAATGAGCTTCCCTTTCGTGTGAGGTGTGACAGTGTGAGTCGAAAACGACGACCAACTCTCTCTACGGGAATCTTCTTTGATTCCTTGGTCAAATATGTTTTGCTTTCGTATGCTACACTTGAACAGATCATATTTTTTATTTTAATATTTTTTTGCAATATTTTAAAGTCGTCATTCATGTTTTGGGTTAAATTTGCTTCCATCATCAGCTTGCTTAGATTACTAAATGAAGTATGATCAGAGAATCTAAACCTCTCTTCTTTTATTGTTTTTAGAAGATTGAGTTTGTTACCAAAAAAGAAAAGAAAAAACAGGATATTGATTACAAGTAAATATTTATTTATTTAACAAAAGGTTTTATATTTATTTATTTATAAATTCATCACATACAATAGTATTTTTTTTAATTTATATCCTTTGGCTTCTTAAATTCACAGAAGTACATGCCAATCACTAAATTTCTAAAACCGTATAAGATTCTCGTATATTGCACGTAGTTTATAAGATTTGTTAGATTCCATCTCTAATAAAATTAAATAATGAATATCTCTCCACTTAACTACGAATTTGATTGGTCAAGCCAGAATAAAAAGTCACCCCAAACTCCTCCTCTTTTTCTTTTTATAGATGCACAAGAGACAATCTCTCTTCTTCGTGTCGCTTCTCTCTCAAGTCTCTAAGCATGTCGGGAGCTATAACTTGCTCTGCAGCTGATCTCTCTGCCCTACTCGGCCCCAATGCAACCGCGGCGGCTAACTACATTTGCGGCCAATTGGGTACCGTTAACAACAAGTTTACCGATGCAGCCTACGCTATAGACAACACTTACCTCCTCTTCTCCGCCTATCTCGTCTTCGCGATGCAGCTTGGTTTCGCTATGCTTTGTGCTGGCTCCGTTAGAGCCAAGAACACGATGAACATCATGCTCACTAATGTCCTTGATGCTGCAGCTGGAGGACTCTTCTACTATCTCTTTGGTTATGCCTTTGCCTTTGGCGAATCCTCTGATGGATTCATTGGAAGACACAACTTTGGTCTTAAAGACTTTCCGACTCTCACTTCGGATTACTCCTTCTTCCTCTACCAATGGGCGTTTGCAATCGCAGCCGCTGGAATCACCAGCGGTTCCATTGCCGAGAGGACTAAGTTCGTGGCGTATTTGATATACTCTTCTTTTTTGACCGGGTTTGTTTACCCGGTCGTTTCTCACTGGTTCTGGTCTCCGGACGGATGGGCTAGTCCGTTTCGTTCAGAAGACCGTTTGTTTGGCACCGGAGCCATCGACTTTGCGGGGTCAGGTGTTGTTCACATGGTTGGTGGTATCGCTGGATTATGGGGAGCCCTTATCGAAGGTCCTCGGATTGGCCGGTTCCCTGATGGGGGTCATGCTATTGCTCTGCGCGGCCACTCTGCCTCACTCGTCGTCTTAGGGACCTTCCTTCTCTGGTTTGGTTGGTATGGGTTCAACCCTGGTTCCTTCACCAAGATACTCATTCCTTACAATTCTGGATCCAACTATGGCCAATGGAGTGGAATAGGCCGCACGGCGGTTACAACTACACTCTCGGGATGCACAGCGGCTCTAACCACCCTCTTCGGAAAACGTCTCCTATCAGGCCACTGGAACGTAACCGATGTTTGCAACGGTTTACTTGGCGGGTTTGCGGCCATAACCGCAGGTTGCTCCGTGGTTGATCCATGGGCAGCGATCGTATGCGGCTTCATGGCTTCCCTCGTCCTTATCGGATGCAACAAGCTCGCGGAGCTTTTAAAATACGATGATCCGCTAGAGGCCGCACAACTACACGGAGGGTGTGGTGCTTGGGGTTTGATATTTGTAGGACTATTTGCAAAAGAGAAGTATGTAAATGAGGTTTACGGCGCAAGCCCGGGAAGGCACTACGGACTATTTATGGGAGGAGGAGGGAAGCTATTGGGAGCACAATTGGTCCAAATAATTGTGATTGTTGGATGGGTTAGTGCCACAATGGGAACACTCTTCTTTATGCTTAAAAAGCTCAATTTGCTTAGGATCTCGAATGAGGATGAGATGCAAGGAATGGATATAGCACGTCACGGTGGTTTTGCTTATATCTACCATGATAATGATGATGACTCCATTCGAGTGCCTGGATCTCCAATACCTCGTGCGCCTAACCCTCCAGACGTTTAATTTTCAAGATTTTTTGAAATTTATATCCCAATATTTTGCTTTTGAAATACAAATCTTGTTTGGAATTTTTTTTGCGTTTTGTTTTGTTTTGAGTGATCTATATATGTTTGTGTTCTTATGTATCTTTTATTTATTTCATTAATTTTCCCGAATTCTGTTAATACTTAGACTCAGCTTAATGTGTTTCTCTGTTGCTTTCTCCTTTTAGAAACTAAAGTTACACAAAATCTATTGCTCTAGTGATGTAAAAGGAGAACTTTTAAAAAGAGTGAATCGTAACATCATGGAAGAAAATCCATAGTTGTCTAATATTAGTGATGATACATAATATCTCCTCTTGCATAAATTCATACACATGTTTCTTATATACGTCAAATATGTAGATTTTGATTCCCACCAAAAAAAAATGATGATTTTGATCAATACAAAAAATGATGATTCTAATGGCCACCATAATTATTAGAAAGGCTTATTTTTAATAGATAGTTATAATGACATATGTTGAAAAGAATCTAATACAAAAGGTATGTTTTAAAAAGAAGATCTTAAAAACTATTTGGTGATGACACATAAAGAAAAAAATCTCATAATTTATCTTTGAATATATTCTTATAGTAACATATATTAAATTAATAATATTGTTAACTAATTTACATAGTGTTTATATAATTTTGCTAAATACTATATGGAAATAATACAAATACTGTAATATATGTTTTTAGCAATATAAAATTGAGGCGGTGGCCCAATATCCTCTACTAATGGGCCTTTATAATGTACAGGATATTACTTAAGCGTGTCCTAACCCTCAAAACGTAGAACACCTCTCTTTCTCTTTGTCCTTAGGGTTTGGTTGATTTCACGCAAAGGAAGCGAAGCGATGGATAGATATTGGCGACGAGACCCGAGGAGGCCGATGATGCAGTATGACTTTCTGAATGAGATGGAATATTCAGGATCCTCGATGCCTATGCAGATGGAGATCGATGATGATGACTTCTACCCCATGGAGTTGTTTGAAGGTGGAGGACTTCTATCCTCCCCAAAGAAGCCTGATTACACCATTTTCTTTCACAAATTCGAGGATGATTTTGATGATTCCGATATCAATTGATTTCGATTATTTCTCACCTTATCATTCTCTTTAGGGTTTATTTTCGATTTACCATGACTTTTATCTCTAGAGATTATTGTTATAGGTGTTCGTTGTTCGTACTCAATAATTGATAAACCCTTGTCACTCAATTACATCTTATGTATTGTATTGATTTCTCTTAAATTACTCTCGTTGTGATTGTTCTTATATTTATGGTTGTTGTGTCTTGATGAAGATACGGTTAGAATTATTATATGAGATTCGAGATCCTATTCGGGATCTGCTCCAATCCGATATCTGGAGCGACCCGGATCGAGATCTGGTGAAACTGCTGGATCCCATCTTGATATTGCACTATGATGATTGAAAGGCTATTGTTTGTTTAGTAGTGGATCTCGTTTTCCTTTTATTTTTTGTTTTCAAAAAGCTCATAAAAATACTATTGAAAGTGGTACATTGGTCTCTTGTCTTGGCCAGAGTTCAACAACTCTCTCCATAGAATTCTACTATAGTGTCATAATAATAGTACCATAGAATTTCATGCTTCGTCTAGTCTCTGCTTTTGTTTCTTCATATCGACATTGTCATTATCGAATGTTGTCAAACGCCAAGAGATTTTAACAGTTTGTAAATTCGTGTTTAGAAATGCTAAGCCAGGTTGGTTAGTGCATGTAGTAAAAGACTATCAATTCCTTTCACGATTAGTTATGTAAGTATATATGGTTTATTGTATATATCTACCATACTCACGTCAAAACTTAGTCAATGAATTCATTTCAGATTGCTGATTTTTTCATATACAATGATGTGTACAAGAAACCTATAAGTATATTTCAACAAAAAACAAAAACCCTAATTATGTATAGCAAGTCTACCGCCAATTAGAATAATTACGTATATCGTTAACTAATAATATAAGTAAATCTAAATCGTATTTTACAATAGTTATTCCGTAACAAAATTTACATTTTCCCCGCATTATCTTGTAACAAATTTCTAAAAAAATTGCAAGGAAATTGGAAAAGTGTTTTCCTACTATGTAATACACGATCATGCTTTGGGAATGAGAGATATACGATCATTGAAAGAGAGAAAAGAGGGTACGTAAAAGCATAAACGCCAACGAAAGAGAAAGATGGAGTCCTTCACAGAGGATCTATGGGGAATTATACTTGCGAGATTACCACTTAGGAGCATCACCTCTTCCAAATTGGTTTGCAAGCAATGGAAATCAATAGTAGAATCTCCGGTGTTCCGCCAGCTGTTCTTGTCTCATCATCAAAACTCGCATTCTTCGTGGTCGCTCATCTACAAGCATTGGCCGGTAGAAGTCGTGGCTCACTACGGATGTGCGATATGGGGACTTACACGATCTCTAGGTTCTTACTTGTCGTCTTTCCTATCCAAAACATTCGAGACACATAATGAAAAGGTCAGAGTCCTGGCTTACACCAACGTTGGATTGATTTTGATTGGTTTGGGATCTGACTTGAAGAATCCAACTTACTACGTGGCTAATCCGATTTCACAACAATGTGTGAAAATCCCACCTCGGCCTCTTCGTCCTCTAGGTCAACAAGAGGAATGTTTCAGACCTGGACTCGTCACACGCATTGAAAAAGACGTCCTTTTAAGTTACAAAATTGTGTTGATGGATAGGACTAACATCAGAACAGGTGTCTTAAGTTTAGTCGTATATTCATCTGAGACAGGCTTGTGGAGTTTCAACACTCTCCAGAGTCATCCCCAGTTGCACTCTATGACTTACATCGATCCCATTACCTTGAACGGAAACATTTACTGGATGGGCGTCAACCTTGACTCTGAACATCTTGTATCCCATGATTTATACTCAGAATCTGATCAATGCCGAGTTATACTTTTCCCTAATGAAGGGAGAAACCAGAAATTCACAAGAACTTGCACAATATCTCAAGATTTCCTCATTTATATGAACATGGTCTATGAAAACAATGTGTATAAATTACGTGTGTGGAGGCTAAAGAGCGGGGAATGGCAATTAGTTTCCGAAATCTCCCCGGTGACCAGTTGGGATTATTTTTTTTTTTTGAATTTAATGTTAAATTATATTCAAAAGAAAAATAAACGTTTATACATATAGAATGCTAACTTTTCAAAAAACAAATTGAAAAGAACTTTTTATCTTGTAAACTCTATTGCCTTGATTCAAACCTAACTTGGATGCCACCTTCAAATCTCAAGTCTCCACCTCCTTGGATCGTGCTCAACCGGTTTCAGACATTTTTATCTATCATCTTCACAAGTACCTCTATCGATGAGGGCTGCTCTCCGTGCCTTCTTCTATTCCGTTCACACCAAATCGAATGTATGGAGTTCTGGAAAATATACCTTAGCAAGAAGCTCTTTGTTTTGTCAAGTACGTTTTCTGCGAGTATCTTCAATATCTCCCTCCAACTCTCCGAGAATCTGTTTAAGAGAATCCCTTTTGCCAAAAGCCTCCAAATCTGTTTTGAGTAATGACATGTAAAGAATAGGTGTTCCCTTGTCTCCATCTGTGCATTACAAAAAACACAACTTGGATTCACATTACTATTCCATTTCAACTTCTCTCCCCCGTTGAGATTCTGTTTTTCAACACCAGCCAAGTAAGAAACGGATATTTTGGGGTTGCATAAGAGAACCATATCTCCTTATGTCCCTCCATCGGTGGCTTAGCAATACGCAGCAACGACCATGTTTCTCCTGTTATAAACTTCTTCCGAAAGCAGCCATTCTTCCCTTTCCACAATGCTATATCACGGTCCATTGTTCTCTGAGTTAACCTTTGTTTTCGAATTTCTTCTTCCACCAGATTAAGGATATCATGTCGATGGTTCCTTCTGCGAGTCATAGTCAGCACTTCCTTTACTGTACTGGTTAAAGGAATCCCCAGGTCAATACAGCCCCTTTCCCCAAGCTTCTCCATGAGACAACCCAAGTTACTCCATGAATCATACCAAAAAGACGTGGTTTCTCCACTCCTTACTTCTACCCGATGAAAATTTTTGGCCATGTTGCGGTACTTAAGCATTTTTCTCCATATCCAAGAGCCGCATGTTGTGTTTCCTTTGACAGCCCAAAAGGAACCATGACGAATCAAATATCTTTGCACCCAATCCACCCATAAGGACCCTTTTACCAACAATAAGCGCCAAATCAACTTCAAAACACTGACCTTATTTGCTTCCTCAATGGATCTAAGCCCTAATCCACCTTCGCTCTTTGGTGTACAAACATCAACCCATGCAACCTTTGCTTTCTTACTGTTCAAGGAGGGACCTGACCACAAAAAAGCAGAGCACATTTTGTCTATTTCCTGAATGCAGGCTTTAGGCAGTCTAAACGCTGCAATCCAGAAATTAGTAAGGCTAAACGTGACAGATCTGAGTAATTGCAATCTCCCGGCGAAAGAAAGTGTTCTCGCTGTCCATGTGCTTATCTGAGACCGTATCTTCTCCAGCAGCGGAGAGTAGTCCGACGAGGTCATCCTGCGTGTTAATAGCGGCAGTCCCAGATATCTAACCGGCAACAAGCCATACTCAAACGGGAATTCTTGAAGAATGTCTTCTTTAATGGCTGCGGGAACACCCGCCATATACAGAGTTGATTTTTCTAGACTGATCTTTAAGCCCGAATGGATAGCGAAATCATCAAATACCTCGAGAGTTCCTTTGATAGATTTCTTATCCCCAGCCACAAACACCATCAAATCATCGGCGAAACAGAGATGGGTGAGTTTAAGATGTTTACAGTTTGGATGATACCCGATACTCTTGTCCATTGCAGCTTTGTCTATCTTGAGAGAGAGCACATTCATGCAAATAACAAACAGGTAAGGGCTAAGTGAGCAGCCTTGTCGAAGTCCTCGCTCACTTCCGAAATAGCCTGCTAGTTCTCCATTTACTTGAACTGAGAATGAAGCTGTGGATATGCAAGTTTGGATCCAACTTACGTATTGCTCCGGGAAATCAAGAGCCCGCAAAGTGTTCAACAAAAAGCTCCATTGCACTGAGTCAAAAGCCTTCGATATATCTATTTTCATTGCGCATCGCGGAGAGATAGAGTCCTTGTGGTAGTCTTTGATGATTTCTGTTGCGAGTAAGAGATTCTCCATTAGCAATCTATCTTTAACAAAGTCAGATTGGTTTGAGGGGATGAACTTTGGGAGAATAATCTTTAACCGGTTCGCCAGAATTTTGGAGATGATTTTGTAGAGAACGTTGCAGCATGATATCGGCCTGTAGTCTTTCATAACTTGTGCTTCTTTTTTCTTTGGGATTAGGGCTAAAATAATAGAGTTGACTCCTTTCGATAAAAATCCTGTCTTAAAAAAGGACTGGATTGCTACCACAAAATCATTCCCCACTATTGACCATGAGTCTTTGAAGAATTCACATGTAAATCCATCAGGACCTGGAGACTTATTGTTTGGCATTGCAAATAACACCTTTCTGACTTCTTCCTCTGTTACTTCCCTCGTGAGCATACTCTTATCATTGTCATCACATTTGAAATCAAGAATGCTTTGTAGATCCTCGCACGACCATTCAACATAATCCTGAGGTTTTATTGAAAGGAAGTCTTTAAAGTGTCTTTCCGCTTCAGTTTTAGTGCTCTCTTGAGTATCTGCAATTCGACCATCTTCACAGTGTATTTCCTTGATATTATTTCGTATGTCCCTGAGCTTCGCAGCCGTGTGAAAAGTTTTATTGTTTTGGTCCCCAACTACCATGGGCATAAACCCTTTTCATGGTAATATAATGTACATGTGGAGCAAGATGGATAGACATTTTTCATCTATTGACTTGTACAAGAGGCAGTTTTGGCGTCACAATAACTTGGAACGTAGCAGCCACGGTCGCACTCTTCGCTTTGCCAGAGAGTGGGATCCAGATGAGGACAGAATCTATATACCCTTCATTTCGAGGTTTCTTCTTCCCCGCTGGCTGCATCCGATCCATTAAATACGACTATCAATAATTTATAATTAACAAAATTAATCTATAAATGTGAAAAAATTTTATTAGATATTCAAGGATATGTTAAGTTTTCTTCTATTCAAACTAATCATTTTCAACATTTTTCATTTTATCATTATAATAGTTTAACTTTGAATAATATTTAAAAGTACAATAGTTTTTCTCAAAATATAGTTCTTATTTATAAAGGGATTTTTCTGATATTTTATTTATAACATATATATAACAAAATAAATTATTTACGATATATTTTGCACCGGCTAAAAAAAATTTATGGGTCCGCCACTGGGTACATTGGTTTATTCTCTTGCCCCGAGCTCAACCACTCTCTCCAATCTTCATAGAATCCTACTTTCTTCTTCATTCTCTTAACAAAAAATAACGTTAAAGAACTTCATGCTTCGTCTAGCCCTCTGCTTTTGTTTCTTCATATCGCCATTGTCATTATCGGATGTTGTCAAACGCCACGAGATTTTAACAGTTTGTAAATTAGTGTTTAGAAATGCTAAGCAAGGTTGGTTAGTGCATGTAGTATAAGACTATCAATTCCTTTCATGATTAGTTATGTAAGTATATGGTTTATCTACCATATTCACGTTAATACTTAGTCAATGAATTATTTTCAGATTGCTGAATTTAAAACCCGTACGTGACTCATATTTTCTCTTCACACAACAAAACGACTCGTTCGTGGCCGAGTGTTTTTCATCGTGTAAATTTCATACAGAATGATGTGTCTACAAGAATATCCTAAGTATATTTTAACAAAAAAAACTACCCCTACTTAAGTATATATAGCAAATCTGCCGGCAATTAGAATAACTACGTATATTATTAACTAATAATATAAGTAAAATATTAGAAAATATGGGAACAAAATCATATTTTAGAATAGATATTCCGTAACAAAAATTTACATTTTTTCCCGCATATCTTGTAAAAATTTCTGAAACAATTGCAAGGAAAAAGGACAATTTCCTAAATACAATATGTAATGTTACAAATTTTAATCGGATTCTTACATATAAAAAAGCTTATATCATTATTTTACCAGGTTAGTTGACCTCCCTCTTTTTTTTTTTTTTTGAATGTAATGTTAAATTATATTCAAGAAAAAAAAACAGTTTTTGGGTACATAATTATGCAAATGTGTGCTGAAAAGCTTAAAAACTAGGGATACATGGATTTGGACTTAGTGTCTTGATGCAAACCAAGCTTGTAGGCTTGAGTTGAATCTTTGATCGCCCGCCGCCCGAATCGCAGAGAGTTTGTTACGAATCTGTTTCTCAATCCAGATTGCAAGTTGTGTCGCTGAAGTCGGATGCTCGCCATGCCTCCTCCCATTGCGCTCTCTCCATATAGAGTGGATTGCTATTTGAAAACTGTAACGTACGACCTCCCTCTCTTTAGTGGATCCGCCCTTGGAGATATACAATCATTGAAAGAGAGAAAAGAAGGTACGTAAAAGCATAAACGCCAACGAAAGAGAAATATGGAGTCCTTCACAGAGGATTTATGGGGAATTATACTTGCGAGATTACCGCTTAGGAGCGTCACCTCTTCCAAATTGGTTTGCAAGCAATGGAAATCAACAGTGGAATCTCCGTATTTCCGCCACCTATTTCTATCTCATCATCAAAACTCGCATTCTTCGTGGTCGCTCATCTACAAGTATGGTCCGGTAGAAGTCGTGGCTCACTACGATGTGCAATCTGGGGACTTACACGATCTCTAGGTTCTTACTTGTCGTCTTTCCTAACCAAAACATTCGAGACAGACAATGAAAAGGTCAGAGTCCTGGCTTACACCAACGTTGGATTGATTTTGATTGGTTTGGGATCTGACTTGAAGAATCCAACTTACTACGTGGCTAATCCGATTTCACAACAATGTGTGAAAATCCCACCTCGGCCTCTTCGTCCTCTAGGTCAACAAGAGGAATGTTTCAGACCTGGACTCGTCACACGCATTGAAAAAGACGTCCTTTTAAGTTACAAAATTGTGTTGATGGATAGGACTAACATCAGAACAGGTGTCTTAAGTTTAGTCGTATATTCATCTGAGACAGGCTTGTGGAGTTTCAACACTCTCCAGAGTCATCCCCAGTTGCACTCTATGACTTACATCGATCCCATTACCTTGAACGGAAACATTTACTGGATGGGATTCAACCTTGACGTTGGTGAGTTGCTTGTATCCCATGATCTATACTCAGAATCTGATCAATGCCGAGTTATACTTTTCCCTAATGATGGAACAGGCAAGAAATTTCCAAGAAATTGCACTATATCTCAAGATTTCCTCATTTATATGAACATGGTCTATGAAAACCGTGCCTATAAATTACGTGTGTGGAGGCTAAAGAGCGGTGAATGGCAATTAGTTTCTGAAATCCCCTCGGTGACCAGTTTGGATTATTTTCCCTTAGGCATAAACCCTTTTCATGGTGATATAATGTACATGTGGAGCAAGATGGATAGACATTTTTCATCTATTAACTTGTACAAGGGACAGATTGGGCGGCACAATAACTTGGAACGTAGCAGCCACGGTCGCACTCTTCGCTTTGCCAGAGAGTGGGATCCAGATGAGGACAGAATCTATATACCCTTCATTTCGAGGTTTCTTCTTCCCCGCTGGCTGCATCCGATCCCTTCCTCGCCTTCATGAGACAAGTTTCTATTGCTTCTTTATTTTTTTTCCTATTCACCATTAATATTTCTTTATGCTAGAGGAAGAAAGTGTAGGGTGGTGTTTCGTTTATTTTGAGCTTCCTTTTTTGTTCTATATTTTTTTTTGGTCTTATAAAATGATAGAGAAGATAATGATCATCATGGTTGTGAGCCTTGAGATATTAATGGAAGCTTTGATTGCTTGATTGATGTTTAACAATAAAACATATATAAGAACTTGTACAACACATTGATTTCTGCATCTAAATGTCAAGTATGGATTGGTTAGTTAACTTAACTTGCATATATGAACTATATAAAACGAGCCTGTAAATTATATTATCTCTACCTTTCATATATACATATATATACTTCTTGTAACTATGCAAATGTCGAAACGCAAGGCAAACTCATGCATGCATGTTTACAAAACATGATCCTGATCATGGAAAAGCTCGATCAATTGGTGAACAAAGGTTATTTGCATGAAGTATTTATATTATATCTTGTTGTTGGTGGTGAGACAAAAGTATTCGCTTGGTGCTTGATTTTTATCTTGAGTTGGAGTGTCGTTTTCATTTTCTCTTGAATACTTTCGTATTATTTCAGGTCATGCGTCAGGTTTTAATCTTTCTTTTTTCAACTTTATTGACAATAAGCAATAAGCTGCGTGTCAGAACCGAAGTTTTCATTCATGTTATAAAAATTAGTGATCTTCTTTTTTGATTCTTTGTTGTTCTTTGATATCTTTTCATGGGCATACTTTAGTCTCTAGCTAGTATTCAAAACTAAATGATTCCGTAGACGCATAACACTGCTGTAATAATTCATCAATTTTTGTCACACATTCAGACGCACCACCGTATTTAAATCAGATCAGACGAGTCCATCCATAAAATTTACTTGCCTATTATCTCAAAATAAGCAAAAGCTGAAGAAGTACAAACATAAATAATGATCCATGCTTCCATGTTTGAATGTGAAAATTTGGTGTTTCTGGTGAGAATGTTTGGGCTTCGTTTGTATCAAAACTTAGACTTGGTGATGTACAAGAATAATTAAAAAGCAAGGTTAAAGGAAACACTAAAGCTTCATCAAAATATATACATGAGTAGGCTGAGATGAAATTTTGATGGCAAGTTTGTATCGAATAATAATAATAAAGGCCCCTCAAAGCAAGTAAATAAGAGTTAAATCTTATCTCTACCTTTCCCATATTGATTTTTTTTCCCCTTCCTAAATTTTATCCAATGGGTACTACTAGGCATATTCCAGCCCGCTTCATACCCGACTCCCAAATTGTCACCACGTTGCCCCGCTTCTTCATCGATATCGATGCAGCAGATATCGAGCTCCCATTAGTGATGGAAGTTAGAGAGCTTTCTACTGAACAGTTGGTTGTGATGTTGTTTATTGTTGTCTACTGCTACTGCAAGCTCTGACAAAGATGGCATCATCATCATTTTTATTGCATCGGAAGTACGGGACTGTTGTTCCTTGAGAGCTATTGAAGAATTTTAAATAGTCCGTAAGTGCTCTGATAGCTCTTCCTAGCAGCCTCAAGCCCAGTAAAAGCAGCAGCTTGCAAGCTTTTTCAAGAATTGATTGCAGGTACTTTTCTTGTGCCTCTATCCTTAGCTGGAGTCTCCGTTGCACCTGCCCATACCAAAAGACCAATCAGAGGTTTGCATTTTAACAGCACAGCATGTTGCATAAACTCCTACAAAAGTGGCCATTGTTTTCATCTCAAGGACAGAGGGAAACAAGGAATACTGTTCATTTGTTTCAGCAGAAAAGGAAAGAATAATTTGGTAACAACAACATTCTAATCTTTGGATTGGACATTGGTTAAGAACTTAGGATAACGGTTCTACCCTAATTTGTAACTTTTGAGCCAAATGTTTTTGTACACATGGTGGTTTGCATCTTCAAGATCAATGGCAAGAGAAATGAAGAAAACTAACCTCCAATTGCTCGTGTAGTCTTCTTTGGACTTCCATCTGAGCACGTAGAGCTTCCAGTGACTTGGTAACCCCCCCTGGCACAGAAACAAATAAGGAGGTAACCATACTCCTGCTGCGCCATTCTCAATGATGATGTTGAAGATGAACCTGTGTCCTGACTCTCCCCAACACAAGAAGCTGCAACATCAAGTTCACAGAATTAGTGGGAGTCACTAGATATGGACACGCAACTGGGATTCATCAAAACAGAGTTCCCAACTATATATTACTCTTTGTTACTTTTTTGTTTGAAAATCGGTTTTATAACCATGATCAGTTGTACCTAGAGGTTAACAACTTGGCCATCTTGAATCACCAAAACTTTCTTTGTATGCTCAACAAGAGCATGTGGATCACTTGATAAGAAAAACTCCTTGGGATGGTCGTTCTTAAATAGAAAAACTTGGACTATTGCTCTTGCCTTGATCTAGCTCCTACAAAAGCATGCAAAAGTAAGGTATACCGCAGTTTCTTACAAAAGTAAGGAATTATTTTGATATTTAACAGGATTGATTAGTTTGTATAATGTAAATTGTTTTGTTTGATTATTCACTCATTATAAATCTATTGGAATTCATTTCTATAGAGATAAATCGAAGGATTTAAATCAGACGGCTAACATTCATCCCTTTATTTTTATTATAATCGGACGGTCACAAATAAAGTTGATTATTATATTAGGGAAGGCATGGGCAAGTGTCAAAGTTTAGATCGCACGGCCTAGATTTTTTCTTTTTTTTCTTTATCGATCTAACGGCCAGAATCTTTTTTTCCTAATTAAATATTTAATGGACAGGGGCAAACTGATAATTGCTCAGGCTGAGGATAGCCTAGATGGCCAGGGATGGGTCAAAGTAGGCCTGGGCATAATACCCAAACCCGAAGAACCGAACCGAACCCGACCCGAAAAATCCGATCCGAATCCGAACCCGAAGTTTTAAAATATCTAAACGGGTTCTAAACTTCACAACCCGAAAACCCGAACCCGAACCCGACCCGAACTCGAACCCGAACAAGTACCCGAACATACCCAAAATATAAGTACATAGTTATAATATATTAGTAATATTTATACTTGTAATAACCTAAGTGCCTAAATTATTCGGATGTTAAGATATTTTCGGATGTTTTAGCTACTTTGGGTTAGATATAGGTTAAAATACTTGGGTTTTATAGATTTTTTTGAGTATTTTTCAATACTTTGCATAGAATCGGATACAAAATTTCTAATATTTGGATACTTCGGGTAAACCCGAATCCGAACCCGAAATACCCGATCCAAACCCGACCCGAACCCGAAGTTTTAAAATACCCGAACGGGTCTTCGTTTTCTAAACCCGAAAAACCCGAACCCGAAAAATCCGACCCGAACCCGACCCGAATATCCGAACGCCCAGGCCTAGGTCAAAGACGCTTGTCAAATATTATATATTTAGATGATGTGTACAAGAAACCTAAGTACATTTCAACAAAAACAGGAAAAGTGTTTTCCTACATCTATACTATTAATTGGGAAGCATTGGATAATAAATAACCTTATCAAGGGTAAAGAATTACAAAAAATGTCATTAGAAATTTTTGATTCTACGACTAAAAAAAAGATTTAGACGAGGGGTATAATGGACAATAGGCTCGAACTGGGACGCGGATCTTGGATCCTTTAGTCAGATCATCATTCGGATAAACACGCGGATCTCGGGTCTACACTCGGTAAAACACGCGGATCCTAGCAGACCCGATTTGTGCAATTTTTTAGTGGTCCTATTGGGCTTACAATCAATAGGCCCGATATGAAGCTCTTGCATTTATGATCCGGATCTACAGCAATTAAAGATAATAGTAATTAGATTCATTACCTTTAAATATATTACCATAACAAGAAAAGCTTAAAATTCGGATTAGAATAATATCACTTCTCTTATATTTCTATAACAACCCAAACCCATATATTCCGATGATTAAAAGAAAAAATTTATTTCTTTATATTCAATTTCATTTATGAGTTTTTACCACAAATAACAAAATCCGTTTATTGAAATATTCATTTATGAGTTTTACAAAAATAAAAGTAAATCTATATGAATCTATATATTCATATAGGAACAAATCAAGCATATTCCTTAGCTATTTTTAATCGAGAATATGTTAGCAATTAAAGTTTCAAAAAATTAGATTCAATTGCTTCAAAATCATTCCATAACAAGTAAAACTATAAATTCGAATTTTAAAAAATCAGTTCACGGATTATTCTATACAAACCCAATCCCACATATTCCATATATTGGAAGAAAACTAATTCATTGATATTCGATTTCATTTATTAGTTTTTATTTAAAATAACAAAATCTCTTCAAATCCATATTCAGTTGTGGAAGCTCCCTTGGCCCATTGGTTGAACAAGGGTTAATTAATGCTTCTACACCCAGAGGTCTGGGGTTCGAGTCCCAGATACTGCGATTTATTAATAAATTTGCAGATTATTGGAGGCAAGTGTGCAGGAGATCTCCAGCGATGTACAATTATAGCCGTTCGCCAGGATTCTACGCAGAGAGGGAAGTGTCCATCAAGAGTATAAAGAAGGAGGTGAAGGAGGTGAGTATGAAGAAGAAGGTGAAGAAGGTGTCGTCTGTCGTGGATCTAATAAGGGTCGGAAGGAATTGTCCGTTGTAGAATCGTCTATGTAACAGTTATCATAATTTGCAATAAATAATAAATCCAGACGTTAAAAAAAAAAATCCATATTCAGTTGTAAATTCTACCCAAAAAAATCATAATAGCTATACAAAAAATCGCCACAAATCAAGCATATACCTTAAATATTCTTATTCGAAATTATCCTCTTTGGAGGTAATTCTCTAAACCCTAAGAAAATGCTAGGCGACTTTGGATTACTATAAATATAGGGTAAAGAATTCTATTGAACTCACCTTTTAAAGCTTTCATCTATTCTCTTCACGTTAAAGCTTGGGATCACCAACCTTGCTGACATCAAACCTTTCACATGGCCAACTCTATGTGCAATCTCTAGGGTAATAAGAAAGGATAAAAAATCCTCATACTGGACAAAGAAGGAAACCCACCGAAAGCAACGATGAATGTGGTGTTCAAAGAAGTTTTTCAAAACATATAACAATTTTCTTTGCAAGCGACATGATATGCAAGAGGTAACAATCTATACTAATAATCTGCAAGGATTGAATATTTTTAGAAATATGCTATCCTATAATAATCATTTCTTTTATATGTTTAACAGGGAAAAGCTGGAATCTAAAGGCATTTGGAAAGTATTGTGGTTACTGAAATCATTTTCTAGATAAGAAATAATGTTGTTTTGAATCTATCTGTTCTTTTCATCTTCTCTTTTTTCCAGAATATCAAAATCCAATTCAAAACAGCTTAACTTTGTTTTCAAAAGTTTGCTTTACTAACTTCATATTAAGCAATATGAAGTTATATAAATCATATACAGAAGCAGTTACGATGATTAAGTATCATCAAACAATATAAGAAAGCAATTTATTGCTAATGGAAACTTTAGAAAACAGATAGTTGTAATCACGAGACTTTAGAAAACTCATTTTAACAAAGATTGACAAATCAATGTTTTCTATCACAATTCTACTCATTCAAAAGTTTAACAGCAACTAAATATTCGTAAGACCTAAAAAAAGTATGCAATCCTTATCATCTAAATAACCTTAACATTGCTTCAAGCTTTCTGAATAGCTCCAAAGACAACATCATTAGAAGCCGCACACAGTGTTCCAATTATACTCGGACATGATGATTAGCTTGTATGCATGTAACCTATTAAAGCCTCGAATTTACTAAATCAGTTCTACTTACTGAATTTAACAGACTGAATAGCCACAAAGCCTCACTAACCTTTTGCATATATACTTTCATATTTTTGATTTGCTACAAAGATGCCATAAATACAGCCTCCTCCAAAAGAATTAAACACGGAGATGATCTTTAGCCTGGTATAAATTGATCTTTGTATCATCATGACCACAAATTTATAAACAGATCTTATAAACTCATAATCGTATCAGAAAATTAATCTGGGAAATCATTTTCTTTTGCCAACAAAATCACCTTCAGACAAAACTGAAATATTTTGGAAGCAAAATTAATTATAACTCTTCTCATGTAACAAAATTGACTGTTAAAATCTATACACTATCCAATTACAAAATGTATTAACTCTATTCATTGTAGATTTATAATAAGAGATTTGTTTTAAAACTAACCAATCTAAAAATAACCTCAAGAGCTCTGTTCAAATCATAATTGAAATCACAATTTAGATACAAAATTAGCAATCCTAACCCATATAAGGTCGGGTTCTTGACAATCAATGCTCAAGAGCTCTGTTCAAACAAAAAATTTCAAAGATTGGAATTTTAATCGAAACACTTGGAAAAGATAAAGTCAAAATCTGAAACAATAATAAGCTTACCTCTTTGTAGAATTCCGGTGTTGCGATTCACAGATGATAAACGAAGACATGGTATCTTAATTATCGGACAATTTTGCGAATGATTCTTATTACGAACAACCGTCTGCTTTTTTTTTTTTTGTGTTTTAATGAAGACGATAAGACAAGAACTGTTCTAGAGTTATCTGTTATGAAAAAAAGAATACATTGATCTATTCAATAAAAAAAATTCAGACGTATATCTGAAACGATCTCAAGACAATTTCGTGGGTTTCGGCCCAAAAGAATATTGTTATCTGATTCATTAATGGGCTCATAAATATTTCGTTGGGTAATAATACCCTTTTAATGACAATTGGTATCTATTATTTTTTGTTGGAGCAAAACAATTGTTTGGCATTTAATTAAAATTACATAATGGGTTTTTAGTAATAAAACCCCTCAACTAAAGATAAATAGTAAGAAAACCCCTCAATTATATATTTAGTGGAAAAATCCTTCAACTTTGAATATGTTCATGCAAATTCCCCTCTGTCTACAGTGTCGTAAAAATTAGACGAACTACAGTTCAAATTAAAACGTAACATTTTCCAGAATTTCTCCTGGAAAACTAAGTATACACCAATATTCTGCTACTGTCCAAATTATTAATCAATCACCAAAACCAATATATTAATTGTCTAAAACAATTATACTTATCTTTCTTTTTTTTGGTATGAGTTATACTAATTTTTCTATTCAAAATTTATATTATATCAAACAGAAAATAAATTTGTGTACCAAAGTTTATTAAAAACACAAAATATAATTTCCCCATTAAATTTATAATTTTATGAAATATATACAATTATCTAATACACTACAAAAAGGAGAAAAAGATTGTTAAATAATACTAAACAAAACGAAATTATATATTTTATAAAACACATTTCGTAAAATATAATATCCCGCACGTACATGCGGGTCCGGATCTAGTATGTAATACACGACCAGGCTTTAGGAATATAGATATACGATCATTGAAAGAGAGAAAAGAAGATACATAAAAGCATAAACGCCATCGAAAAAGAAAGATGGATCCCTTAACCAGGCGGTCGTGGTCTGGTGGTAATGGGCTCACAGCTGTGAGTACCGCCACCAGGGTTCGATTCCTGGCCACAACGGATTTAACATGGCTTCCGTTTGGCTTCCAGGACCACACCAGATCCGTTTGGACGCGGTGCTAGTTGGGCCCTAAAGGTCCAGACACCTGGGTTATCAAAAAAAAAAAAAAAAAAAGATGGATCCCTTCACAGAGGATCTATGGGGAATTATACTTGCGAGATTACCACTTAGGAGCATCACCTCTTCCAAATTGGTTTGCAAGCAATGGATATCAATAGTAGAATCTCCGGTTCTGTTGGTTCTGCCTGGCCGAGAGCATCTTCCACGGCTGAGTAATGTCCCAATTCCAGGCGTTGAGACTATATGGTATAAACCTCCTCTATGTTTAGCTTAATGTTTGGTTAATTTTTTTCATTAAATTAGTTCTCATGTGTAATGTTCTAGCTTGATTATCATAAATTAAGGCTATTAGGTTAATCATTGTCTGTTTAGATCACTTGTTCATTGTCTAATGTCTGTTTTTTATCAAGTGTCTTACTAATGGTCTAATGTCTGTTTTTATCAAATGTCTTACTAATTGTTTGTTATCTTATGTCTAATGTCTGTTTTTATCTATAGGTTTGGCCGAGACAAAGGAAAATTGTCTAGGAGTATTGCTGGAATATTTCGGAGAAAATTTGATGGACCTTACTATAGCTGGAAGGTGACTCCTACAGCCATTCAAGAGCGATATTTGAGATCATTTGCGGTAATGTTTGATATTCCTATCAATGTGTAATAGTATATGTTGCAATGAATTAGTATGAGTTATACTAATTCATACTAATCTGTGTAGGGGAAGTTCAATTGGGATATTGGGATTACGGAGCTAGTCAGAGAAGGATTCTTGGTCATCGCCAAGAAAAGGCTTAAAGGAATTGTTAGTCAAGCGAAGCTTTCTGGTCTCCAACCGTATTGGATTACCAGTAATGACCTGTGGGCACAAATGTGTGCTTATTGGAAAACTGAGGAAGCAATTGAAAAGAGTGAAACTGCATCACAGTCCAGAAACAGTGATCGTAATGGTCTTGGAGTCCACAAACACGTATCAGGGCAAAAATCATTCATGCAAGTTCACTAAGAGCTGGTATGAATCTATATAACCTTTCACTTTGTTTTTAAATATTGCACTTAGATCACTATATGTTGTTACCTCTGTTCTGTGATTTTAATGATGTCTTTGTATCATTATAGGAGGAAGAATTGGGGCGTCCTGTGTCATATGGAGAAGTGTTTATGCAAACACACACAAGAGCAGATGGTACTTTTGTAGATGCTAAAGCCAAACAAGTAGCTGAGGTCTATAATAAGAGCATAGAAGAGAGACTGTCTGAACTGGCTGAAGATGGTGAAGACGCTTCAGATGATTCCTCTCAGCAGTCAACTCACCGGACTCTCACCATTGAAGAAAAGAATGAACTCTTTCTTAAGGTAATCTCGTGTAAGTTTTTGTTTAGAGTTTGCATATCATCATCACTGTTTTGTAATCATATATAGAATCAGTCCATGTATTTATGATTAATACTTGAATGATTCTGTTTTTGATCTTGAATGACTCTATTTGCTAATACTTGAATACTTGACTGATTATTTTTGCTTGAGCATGATTCTGTTTTTTTTTCTTAAGTGTACTGAAACAGATGTGAAGGGGAACTATTTTGGCATTGGATCTCTTAAGGTGACCCTTAAGAAAGGGAAAAGAAAAGAAAGCTATGCTAGCAGCTCTTCTTCCTCCATTACCGAGCTTCATGATCAACTTCGTCAAAAGATGGCTGAGCACGACGCAGAGAATGCTCGACGTGATGCGGAGCAACAAGCATCTCAAACTCGGATTGCAAACTTGGAGAGGCTTGTTATGTATTGGAAAGAGAATGATCCTGCCTTTGCAGCTTTTGTTGCATCTCAGCCACAACCAACTGCACCAGCCAACACACAAGCCGCCAATGCAACAGCCACCAATGCAACAGCCACCGCCAATGCACCAGCCACCGCCAATGCACCAGCCACAGGCGCCACTGCACCAACATGAACCGTCGCAGCCACAACAACACCTTCTTCATCCTTCTAAGTGCTTTTGTAATTTTTTCTTTCTCTTATGAACATGATGAATATTGTTAATGTTTAAGGTTATGTAAGGCTTTTGATTACATTAGGGCTTTTGGTTAGCAACATTAACGATTTGATTAGCAACATTTGGATTTATATGAATTCGGTTTTGTTATTTTTAGAATCAAAATAAAGCTTATTTGCGACTAATTAATAGTCTCTCAAAACCCAAATTAGTCTCAATTAAACGACTGCAATGTTTGTCACTAATTAGTCGCTAACTAACAGGCGTAGCTAAGACGTCGTAAATATACGACTCTTAATGTCAGTCTTTATGTCGTCGCTTATCTGCGATGACATAAATAAGTCTCAATACCGTCACAAATATGCGACTACAATGCGACCATTTAATTTAGCGACCGTTTTTTAGCGACCAACTTGAGTAGTCGCAAAGAAGTCGCAAACAACGATTAGTGACCGTTTAAGGACTCGTTTGGGAGTCGCAAAAGGCATGTTTTCTTGTACCTAAAACGAATTATATTATGAAACGGAGGGAGTAATATTGTTTTGGTTTTGATTGTTTAAATAAAACAAATTTCAAAAAAATACCCGCAGCGTAGCGTGGGTTTCGACCTAGTAAATTTAAATAAGGTAACTGGTTATTTGTTGTAACGGGAAAATAATAAATGCAAATAAATTTCTACGTGTATTTTTTTATTTGTTTTGACTTTATATAGACATAAGAGCGAGAGAAAACAAAAAAAGAAGAACCAGAGTGTGTTTCTTCTTCTTGTTCTTCTGCTTCTTCTACTTCTCTGTCTCGACGAGATCTGAAATCTCATCTCAGCCGTTTGATCTAAAAGGATCAACGCTTCTGCTGACATTTTCAATATAGCCAGTGGCTCCTGAACCGTTAGATTAGATGAATCCGACGATGGCTATTGGTCGATTGCTCAATCCTGAAGTCAGAAACTTGGATCCTAAGGTACTCTTTGAACTGAAATATTATCTTAGCTGTTTGATACGAAGATCAACGGCTCTGCTTGGCATCTTCAGTGTGGCGGGGTGAGTCCTGAACCGTCAGATTAGATGAATCTGGCGACTGCTATCACTCAATCCTAGAGTGAAAACCTTTGATCCCAAGGTACAGTATATAATATGTGTTTTCTTCTAATGCAAGTTCCTTTACTCAACTTTTCTACTCGTCGCTTTCTTTATAAACCCTAATTGATCAATGGCGCGTCTTGCAGACTACAAGGGGCAATTTTCGGCGATTGCTATAGATTCGGCGCTTTCTCAGCAGGTTTCTGCGCTAATTCGTCTGAATCAGGCGAGCCGTGGCGAATTGAAGAGTGTCCTGGATGAAATCCGTCGCGATATTCATGAAATAGCCATGAACCAGTATGGTTCATGGTTTTTGGTGAACCTTCTCCGGTCCATGAACTTAGTGAGCGAAGTTGATGGAGTATTCTCTTAACTATTGTCCATTGATGTTCTAGGGTACAACATTGGGTATGCTCTGTTGGATTCGTGTTTTTTTTTTCTTCTCTGATTTGTGTTGTTTGAACTTCAATTTACTCTCTCTTTTTTTTTTTTTTTTTTTTTTCAGTATCAAAACGCTCCTCAATGTTTTGGATCTATGTACGCACAAGAAGGAAGAGTTTCTATGCTATTTGGGGGGATCAGACAGTAAGAGTTGTTTGAAAACAAGAGCATTGTTTGAAAACAAGAGCAAGTCTGGTTACCAACTCCTGCTTTTGAATATCACATGAATCCAGTCCAAGGATGAAGAACAAGGAGCTACACCTAAATATATCAATTCACGTTAGGCTTATCATACATGAACCTTCCTCAACCGTTTCTATGTCAAACAACTGTTCTATTTTGTCATAGCCTTGAGATTGTTTATCGTTGTGTATATCATTCGTAAATAGAAAATAGATATAAGAACTTTTTTAAAAATATAGATCATTTGTATATAAAATATAGATAGAAGAGAAATCTAAACATTATCTCATCATGGTAATATTATGATTCGTATAGAATAACCCATTTTGTATATATCATTCATATCAATTTTTACTGTACTAAATGAGAACATGTGTATATCACGGATAAATCATATATTATTTAATTTTATGAATAGTCTTAATTGTAGTAAAGTATTAAAACTTACATTTCATATAGTACGGTGTATGGTGGATATAAATTTATAGATGTTTTATTTGTTAATTTAAAATAATATTCTTCAAATTTTATAGCTATTTCTTTGTATGTTAATAAGCTAAGTTTTTTGTTTACTATATAAACGTTGAATAAATCAAAGTTAAAAACTTTATGTATATTCATTTCTTTTGGGCAAAGAAAAGGGCTAATTTCCGTCATCAAGTTAATAACTTAATATACAGATTTGACCAAAAACTCAAAATAACAATAATACTAAATGGCTTTTAATCTGATTTCTCCATCTAACACATGTGCCCTATACGTGGTATCCTTCTCGTGGGATATTAGACTTTTTGATGGGCTTTGGGCTTTTGTTTTTAGTTTACCTAACTTTTGTTCGGTTCCTTCCATTGTTTGAAAAATCGCTAGGCGCTACTCGGGCGCTCGGCATGGGCCTAGCGATTAATCGGAAAATCGGATTAAAATCGGGGATTAATCGGGGATTAGTTTTAGGGTTATTTTAATATTTTTAAAATATATTAATCCAATATTGTAAAAATTTATGATTTTTATTACAAATTTATGATTTTTATTAAATTTGAACACAAATTATTGTAAAACATCACAAACTCTCCATTCAAATGATTGAATAACAAAAATAAAAAGTTTTTTATACTTGCAATCTAAAAAATAATCGGGGTATATAAGATTAGGCGGGAAGTAATCGGATTAGGCGGAGAATAATCGGGTTACTGATTTTTTAGGGGATTAGTCATTAATCGAGGCGGATAGAGTGGGCCTAGCGATTAAGCGGGGAGTAATCGGGGCTAGGCGGGGATTTTTAGAACAGGGGTTCCTTCTAATAATATGAGACGAAAAAGAGGCTTTTCATCTGTTTCACCAGGAAAAATAAAACCAAGCTTCAATGTCGATCTCAATCCCCTCTATTCTCTCTATTCAAACTTTTATTCTGTGATAAATGATAATACATGATAACGAAAGGAGGTTTTCATTTGTTGTGGATTCGGATAGAACATAACTCCAAGCAGAACAGAGAGTTTCCGGTACACAAGTTTGTTTCCAAACTTGTCGAATCTGTTGTAGAGGTGATTATTCAATTACGAAGACAAATTTTAACTTATCAATTCAGGCAAGCTTGGGGATGTCACATTCATCAAGACTTATTTATCAAAGTAAAGATAAGTACTTCTAAAAGTATCTTTTTTTTCTTCATCTTTTTCATTTTCCTCATCCATCGACTCCTCTTTCCCGTAGAAAATACAAGCAAGAGAGAGAAAGATGAATATTGAATCTTCTATGGATCAGGGAGTGTAAGAATTATGTGACGAAAGAGAGATGATGATGCCTCCTCTGTTCATGACCAGATTATGAAGATGAATATTATGGATTGGGTAGATGGGTTAAAAGTTTCGGTTTGTAATTTCTAGCAAATTCTATTAAAATGTTAAAAATTACAATAGCTATCATTAAATAATTCTTTAAAAATCTGTAGCTTACGTCTCTAATTCTATCCAACTGAATTCTATTAAAGTCTTTCATCCAATACCCCCAGTAGTCCTCTCCCCCCTAAAATTTAATTCATTTTTTTTTTGAATACCAGAAAGTTCTGGAGCAAAATCAGTAACCCCTTTATATCCGAAACCACGGTATGTAATATTAATTTCGTTTCAAGCGTCACTCGAACCGATGACCTCTAAGCATAGCCTACGATCTTTACCAGTTGAGCTAACGACACTCAGTCTTGATAAACATTTTTATTAGACAATGACAAAGCCAATGCCAAATTATGTTTATATTTCGGTGTAAATTAACCATGACTTTCCAAAATTTGTCTAATATATTTTCAGGCGATCAAAGACGATGGACTTGGACTGCTACCAACGTCTACACGTGGTAAGAAGGCCATATACAGTAAAACCTCTATAAATTAATAATATTGGGACCAATGTATTTTACTAAATTTATTAATTTACCGTGTTTATTAATTTATAGAAATGATATTTAAGCTAAAATATCTATTTACGACCATAAAAAAATTATTAGTATAACGAGATACGTCCGAAAAAACTACCTGCTACGGAACCGAGCAGGGGCAAAAATACGATAAATATCTATTTACGACCATAAAAAAATTATTAGTATAACGAGATATTAATTTATCGAATATTAATTTATAAAGGTTTCACTGAAATATTTTTGGCAAAAAAGTATTAAAAATAGAAGAGAATTAGAAAATAGAAAGTAGATATAAGAGAAATCTTGAAAATATAGATCATTCGTATATAGAAGAGCCGTATATAGAATATAGATAGAAGAGAAATCTAAACATTATCTCATCATTGTATATATGATTCATATAGAATAATCCATTGTGTATATATCATTCATATCATTTTTTACTATACTAAATAAAAACAGTTGTATACCACCGAGAAATTTTATATAATTTAATTTTATGAATAGTCTTATTTGTAGTAAAGTATATATATTTTATTAATTTGTTAAAAAAAATTATTTACATTTAAAAAGTACATAATTTTTGTTATATGTAAAAAGTAATATATATATTATTAATTTTTTAATCAAATTGAACTATGGTGTTTAGGTCATAAGATGAGATGGTAAATCTCTACATATGTTCCCTCAACTCCTAAGTTCGACTCCCACGTAGCCCCATTTATTTTATTTTATTTTAGCTTTCAATAAATCTGCACCCACTAAAATGCCTAATAAAAAAATCTTCTTTACTTCAATCTAAAGATTTTGATATTTATATATAGATTTATAGTACCGAAC